CCCCCCCCCCCCTTCTGCCCTCATCCCAATGCCTGGACACCTGGGGCCAGAATCCGAGCCTTCCGCCCCCAAGCCCCGATGCTCAAACCCCCCCACTCCCCCTCCCCCCCCCACTGGTAGCAAGCTGATAACCTCAGACCTTCAAGACAGCTTCAGCCGAAAATCCCAAAACGGGCCCGCATAAACCCTGAAGCCCCTTGTAGGAGCCCTTAAAAAAACCCTTTAAAGATCCGATCAAACCCTATAGGAACCTGACCCTAAACCCTAAACCNNCCTAAAGCCCTAAAAACCTAAAACCCTAAAACCTAAAACCCGAAACCCTAAGAAGACCTCTGACAGCCTGGAGCCCCCAGGAGGCGGCGCGGTCCAACTCCACCGAGGCCAGGCGGAGCTAAGTAGGGAAAGGCGCGCGCGTTTTTTTCGGATTTTTGAGGGCTTTTTTTTGGGGGGAAAGAGCTTAGAGGGTCTATTTTGGGTTTGGGGCTCAAGGGGATCAGGGTTGAAGGTTGTGGGGTTTGGGGCTTCAGGATTTGAAGGTTTAGGGTTTAATGGTTTCAGGGTTTAGGGTTTGAGGGTTTGGGGGTTGTAGGGTTTAGGACCTTGGGAAGTTTAGGGTTTGCGGGTTGCTAGTGTCTAGGGTGACTGGGAAGTTGAACATTCAGGCTCTAGTGGTTCCTTTCCATATAGCTTTTGGACTTGGGTCCAACAGATCATGGCTGCTGTTCGGTGAAGGATCAGGGTTTAGGGCCCTGAGGCCTGGGGTGGCTCGCATCATCAGGTTGGAGACTGTCTTTTTGGTCTTGTTTCCTTCATGGCTTTCATGTTGGGGCAATCGAAGTCTCATGCTCAAGATCCCTAACGCTGAGGGTCTCGGCTGCGCCGGCTTGTGAGTTACAGAAAGTCGAACTGCTGCGTCTGGGTGTATGGTGAAGATGACCTTTGATGAAGGTTTGGACAAGATCCCCGACATGGTCGACATCGGCCGATGTTGTGTGAACAAGTTCATCATGCAGGATCTCGCCGTGAAAAGCCACGAAGACAAAAGAGAATCGTCTTCAAAACTGACAAGTTTGGGCGGGCCCTGGAGGTTGGCACCCACTTGACAGCACGTGCAGGGCTTATTTTGCCATCCAGTCTTTCGGGAACGTAGTGAAAAGGCTATAAAGCTCAAACCCTAAAAGCTGGACCCGGCGTCTTAAGTTAGAGCAGCGCCTGGCTCAAAGCGTTGCTACGCGTCGGGCGCAGCGGGCTGATCCCCTAGGCTGAACCATGTGGCCCGTATGGGGGTTTCCGAAAATAAGGGGTACTCTTATATTGGGGTCCTTGTAATGAGGATCCTACGATTTAGGGTACTATATTAGGGTCCCTATTTTCGGAAACCCCCGTATGAGTTTGCAATTTTAAAGCCGAGCCCAACCGGCGCCCTCATGAACATTGATGGGGATGCAGTCGGGGTGTCTAGATGGGTTCTAAAAGTAGACCTGTGAAGCCCTTCGTGGGTGGCAGGAGTGCCAGAGTTATGCCAGAGCATAGCAGATCTGCCAAGAGCAAGATCGCCGAACACCACGATTGAAGCATCTCGAGCGGGTAAACGTGGCTGCTACACATGGGAGAAGCCAATATTCAGCCTGACGCCTTTTCCCAAGAAAGCGAAAGGTCTAATGCGAGGTCTATGTTCTGAACCACCAACCCAATTCCGACACAAACTTTACCAAGGAGTTTTGCTACTTTCTGAGTATTCGGAGCTCTATCAGTCCCAGAAGGATCCGTCTGAGTCGTCATGCAAGGCCTACAAGATGTTCTCCACATGGCAGAACAAGATCACTGAGCAGACGGACCGCTTGATGACTAACTCATCTACTTGAGCCATCATGAAAGCCCTGGGACTAGCGAAACCCTAGATCGATAACATGCACCGATAAGATACGGGCTCAAGACTGTGGGGCACCAGCGTAGATGTCTTTTTGTGAGGGTCGTGTAATCTCAGTTACTTTGGGTCTAGGGCTGCGTAGAAGTAGAGATAAGTGGGGTGCTTGGGTTCCACTGATGGTGTGTGGTTTGGGCTTTGTTCAAGGTCAGTGGTCCAGAAGGCTATTGGGATGTGGGCTGAAGTATTGGGCTTGCGGCTTAACCTTCTCCGAGCATGAAATTATGACGGTTTCGAAGAGGACGATGACGCTGATGATGACAACAGGGCGTGCTGGATGTGGTGGTGGTCGGCAAGAAGAACATGTCTGTCCCACAATGAACTATAATTGCCTCATCAAGCATTCAGGGCGTGAGGTGTATCCGACTCTTGCGCACGAAGCGCGTATAGGCACAGCAGCCTCCAACCCTAAGAGCTTTGGAGTTTAGTGGTCAAATGGTCTGAGGTTGGCGGCCCGCGGTGTAAGCACATGCCAATGTCCCAAAAGTGCAGAACTGGTGCCTCTACAGCTCGCAAGAGGATGTACTGAAAGATTCGGCAAGCGATCCGACCAGACTCTTGCACCATGATACGACCCTTCACGGGGCTTTGCTGCGTGGCATGTCTACTTATGGTTTTCCCCTGGCAAGCAAAAATACGCCCCACCCTGGCCTCGTTGAGCCTTTGTTCACCTGTGCTGCCAGCTCACACGAGCAGACTCTGGACCCTACACCTTAACACCCTGAAATCCGGGAATCCTCTCAAGCCCTAAGCATTCAACGCATACGCAGCCCGCAACGCGAAGCACTCTGGTGCAGGAGATTCGTGGACAACTCGAATTCCTGTCCGAGGAGTGCGACCCGATTGACATCTCCGAGGCACTGCGTCGTGGGTTTCCTAAGGCAATCTGCGGGGCGTGGGGTTTAAGGTGAAGGATTCCGGTTTAGATTTCCTTGTTCAGTCTTTAGGATGATGATGATGGTGATGATGATGAGGGCCACGATGACGAAGCTGCAGAATTGACAAGCCACGCATGCTCGTTTATGAGTTCAACCTCGGAGCTCGGCCGAAGACAACAGGCCGAAGTCTATAGTCTTAGCCAGCACCACTTACGGCACATAAACTCAGCGGCGTCACAAAACTTGGCGTCCTGTTACTTGTATGATGGTTGTTATGATGTCTCCTCTTTGAGGCTATTCCTTTTCTGCTTCTCACCGGAGGGTGTTGTCGGGATTGTGGGGGCTCAGGTTCTCTGTTCTACAGTTCGCTCCATAAGCTTGGAGGAAGGATGCAGAATAAGCCGGAATCTGGCATTTTAAGTTTTAGAAACAACCTGCCAAGCAAGCCAGTTGAGGTCCAGTCTCTTGAATTGCAACGCCCTTTGCTTCCAAAACTACAAGCCGCAGCATAAACCTGCCTGTTGTTGTTGTGGACTAGGACCCAGAATCCTTCGATTTTTCATATCATCTTCTCGATTACCTGCTTGGGCTTGTGAAAGGTTGAGCCAGCTGTGGAGATCGTGTGGCCCTGAGTGGCAGAACTGACGGAGAGACGATATTCGCTCATGTCCTGCCTAATGTGACAGGCATTCTGGTCATTCTGGTTAATTACAAGTTCTGCATTCCCTCACCGCAGGCATTCGATGGTTCCAAGGCTGCTTTGAAAACTAGTTTCATCGCTGACAACAGTTCCACCAGCCAACCCCTGGAGGGTTCGTAAAGCCCCCCTCCATGCCATGTAAAAATTCTATTCCTTTTTTTTGCCAATTTTATTCCTATTTTTTGTCTATTTTATTCTCATTTTTCCTATTTTTCTTTATTTTATGCCTATGTTTCTGCTGTTTTTTCCTATTTCCCTTATTTTTCAGTATTCACTGCAAACCTGGAATTCCCATATTTTTCCTATTTTTCTTCTAAATCGTGGTTTTGGAGGTTTTCTAGAATCAGGTCTATTGAGTCGGACATAAGCTTAATGCAGCGACAGCAACAGCAAGTACCCTACGAAATGCAAAATATATACACTTGTTTCCCTACCTCGCAAACCCTAAATTCGAAGTCCCACTGAGGTGAAGCGCTTCTGCACCGGCGCAGCCTCCTTCGGATCCATCTCCGACGAGGTTCCGATGTAAATTCCTGACGTGGGTTGTTCTGTTTTATGCAGGCAATGCTGACATACCCCAGACTATCGCGACTGCGATAATCCGCACAAGCGGTGTTGTTAATAATGCTTGCTTTGATTTTATTCTATTTTTGAAGGTTACGGATTTGAAAGCAGTCTTTCCGTCGGAGCCTGGCCAAAGCGGGGTAGCCACGCTTGCCATGACCCCATGATACCTTCACGCATTCGTCACGTCTTTTGATATTGTCGGAGTAGAAGTTGCAGCCTATGCCGCACATCCCAAACATGAGATAAGCCTGCTAAAGATCAGCTATGCCGCGGACTTTGAACCGGAACACTCCCAAAATCTGAACAGAACGGCAACCATCTGGATCAAATCAGCCCGTGCCCTTCAGAACTCCGAACCTCCTTCCCAGAGCCTTTTGCTCGCTGTTAAGAGCCTAAGAGCGCCCGAACTCCGACACTCCCACTTGAAGCGGGTCTCCAAATTACGATCTCACTCCGCTGGCCCCAGCCAGTCTCGAGCACTCCCTAGATCAAAACGTGACGCTCTCTGGTCCGAAGCCCAAGCTTAGTGCCTTGGTCCATCCCTTGGCCTGGAGCCCCAGACCCTATAAAGCCTTTTCCGGAGATGCTTGAGAGGCCCACCGGGCCATGGCCATCGCCATGAACCGCATCGGTGGCAAGAGCAACACCGGTGAGGGTGGCGAGGAGAGGATGCTACGTAGGGCCGCCGCGGTTTCTCTCGGGGCTTCCGGCTTTCCATAGGGCCTGGGGCCGCGTGGGGCTTGAACGGTGCGCCCATCCACTTCTTCAGTCTTGGTGGCGAGGAGCAGGTGTAGCAGTAGTTGTAGCAAGGATCGCAACAGCAGTAGTGTTGGCAGTAGCGCAACACCCCGAAGTGCGAGTGTTCCTGAAGTGGCTGTCTCCGCGCGGTCAGGACCCGATGCGCTTCACACACCTCGAGAAGGGAGAGTTCGAGGTTCGGAGAGGGGCGTGGCGGTGTGCTTTAGGGTAAATTTAGGGCTTATATAGCGCTTTCACAGTTTGAGCGCCAGGCTGACGGATTTACGCACCTACTGGATAGCATCATAGGGCTCACGGATTCCTTAGTCCTTGCGGTGGCAGTTCAGTGCTGCATCAGATCAAAGACTCATACCTGCAATAGCTTGAGGGAGATGCTGATGCTTGCAAAGACAGCTCCCGCAACCCATCTTTTCCACCAGGGCATGAGCTTGTAGACGCAGTGAGATTGTTGGGATGCTGTGTGTCGTTGGGTCTGTGAGCAGACTTCAGGAGCAAGGTAACCCGCAGACTCGAAGGAAGCATCCCCACAAGCAACCCTGAGTGAGGCCGGCGGAGCCAAGTGGGACATCGTCAACGGAGACTCCTTCCGCTCGAAGATCAAGCAGGCACCTCCTCGAACCAGCTTGAGATCAGGGGGGGTACCTGTCCTTACATGAAGATCTCCATACCTCAAGGTCTAGAAGGAAGTTTTTAGGACTGGCTGATTCAATCAGCACAGGGTGCTCTTCTTTACGGCATTAGATGCGCTGCCTGGTGCCGTATGCCTTTTCAACTCAGAGTCTTTGGACTCGAAACCCCGAGCCCTGCGCATGGAGCTGAATCCGCTTGAACCCCAATGAAAATGGCTACATAAACATACACAAACCTCTCACAGACTCCCACGTACCAATATGTGGGACTTTAATCGCCCTGGCTGTTAAGTGGCAAGACGTCGTGCACCCCTCGAGCTTGAAAGTGGGGACTCGGTGTGGACTGGCAGACCCCGCAAGCATTGCGCGACCTAACCTAACCTGAGTCTTTCAACCCCCTTTCGAACCTTCGACACATGATTTGTTGACTGACTCAAAGTTTCAATCTGGATGTGAGCCACCAAGCCCTGCATTGTACCTTGAACTTGAACCCTGAAACTTGCTGGGCTTAGGTCATCACGGGAAGCATCTAGCCACAGCAAAGGGCGTCTAATCAAGGGCTTGGCAGCTCTACGACACTCTGATCCTCGAGATCGTAAACTCCAAGAACCCTACACTGGCCTGAAAACCAAGCCCTGAGCTCTCAACGGCAACCCTTGAGCCCTCGGCCCTTAGCTCCTGAAACGCCGAATCTGCGAAGCCTGAAGCCCTATGAAACCGCACAGAAAACTTTGACAAGAAACCTCATGCAAAAGCCCCTCATAAAGAAGACCATTTGGAAAGCCCTTATTTCATTCCAGCCTTGAAGCCAAAAGCCAAAGCGCATCTTCAGGTGGCCTCCGGCCGCTTCGGTGTCACCGCGGAGTATCTGGCCAACGCCGAGGATCCGAGCACTCTCCGAGAAAGGGCTCGGCTCGGTGGGGTTGTCTCCAAATCCCCATGAAGAATGCAATCCCGAATTCGACGCCCCAAGCTCCAAGCGACATAAGCCCATGCAAGGCACGGTCTGAAGCTGGTGAGGGAGTAAGAGAAGTTGTACCAGGCCGAACAGCTCCAAATGCCAGTGATCGAGCAGCGCTTCTGCTACGACGGCTTCCAGTTCGCTGTGGCGCTGGGCGATGTAAACGCTGCCAGGGCTTGGATTGACCGAGTTGTGCGGGCGAGCAAGATGATCGAGATGCCCGGCAGTGCCACGTTGCAGAAGCGACTCCAGTTGCAGCGCAACGTTAAGGCACATTTCAAGCGGCCGTATGATTATGGATCATGGTCACATGAGTCACATGTAGGAATGGATCAGGACCGCCATCTCTCCCTCTGTCCTCCTCTATAAGCTTGGAAGATCTTGGAAGCTTCGGAAGGCTCGAAAGATCTTGGACAAGCTTGCCTTCGAGTCTGCCCCATTGCTTTGGACACCGCAGTGCGTATGCAGAGACAAAACATTTTTTGTGACTTGCCTTTTCTGCCAGCTTGTCTAGGCAAAAAGCGCAGAAGTGGACAAGACACTAGCGGCAAGCTAATGCTTGGGGTGTAGATCGTTTTGCCCGTTGTCCTCATGATCTTAGACATGGGGCCTCACTGCTTGGGATGGTTGCTGGTAGGTCCTATACTGATGGGTTTGATAGGATTGTCGCGCTCGGGAAGTTGCGGTAAAAGCATGATGGTCCCTTCAGGTTTCTGTCCCTCGATCCAGGCCATGGACCGTAACGTTTCGAAGCAAGTCAAACTGCCAACACCGGACCCCCAGCCCTAAACCTTGATGCCCGGCAAATGAAATATGTGACATCAGCAGGAGCTGCAGATCAAGCTGGCGCAGGTCGGGCTTTTTCGTCTCCAGTCAATTCCGACAGCTCCATATCCCTAGACCCTGTTCTGACTGAGGGTAGAAGAAGAGAGAGAGAGAGAGAGAGAGAGCGAGCTTCCCTAGGCCCTTCCTTGACTGAGGGATCAAGGGGTTCGGGGTTGCTTTGATTAGGGTCTTGTTCGAACACCCCTGTCCTCTTGATTTGGTTTGGGGTTGCTTTGAATCATGGTAAGGTCAGGGCTTCTTGTAGAAGGGCCCTGACCCATGAGTTGCTATGGGCGACCTTAAGAACACGAGTTGGGGATGGAGCTGATTGCGGTCTGCAAAGAGTTTCCTTAGACGTGCCATCATGATTGATAAGAGGTTGTTCGGGGTAGTCTACACTAAATGTAAGCTTTGCTGCTTTAAGCATGACGACAAAAGGGTTCGATGATTAGATGTGTGGCTTAGGATCACACGGGAGCTCCTTTTTGGCCTGGACTTGCGGTTCTTCAGTCGAAAGTTTGTGAGGCATATAGATCAAAGGGAAGTCTTCCACAGAACTCCCCTCAAAAATCCTGAGCCCTACACATAGCCAGAAACCAAGGTTTCAGGCCCAGGGATCGGGCCCCTAAATAGGAAAATCGGTTAATGACGATTCAAGAAGACCCGAAGACTGGGCCCAGATGGGGCCCGAAGTCTCCTGTGGCCCGAACTCTCCTTGCAATTCACTCCACAGGGCGCCAAACCGGGAGAAGGAGGTGAGCTGCCAGGCTACAAGGCCCAGGGTCCTTGACGGACTTCGGAATTCAGGGTTCGGCAGTGCATAGATTCTGGGTTTAGGCCCGGTCAGGCCCAAACTATGAGTAGAACAAGGTTGGTCATGCTCATTTTGGGATTTCGATCCAGGCTTACGGTGAGGTTCGGTACGGAGGCCATCAGAAGACGTTGCCTACCCCCCCATCCGGATGTGAGGCTAGAGGTCAGAGGTTTCCGCCGGACTGCGCGCATCTGGTACCTCCGCGCGCGATATCCCCGCGCGTCTGATACCTTCCTCCCGGGCTGCTTGGAGTTTCCGCCATCCCCCGCGCGTCTGATACTATCTATCCATCCCCTGCCTCCTCCCCGTCGCCCTCTGTCCCGCCACTGCCGCCATGCAGATGCTCCGCGAGTCTGATACCTCCTCCCGCGGTCTGATACCCCCCCTCCGCCCGTCGTGGCTGATAAACCCCCGCCCCCCCTCCGCGCGTCTGATACCTCCGCTGAGGGCTGGATAGGGGGTTACCCGGCGTAAATCCTGTCACAAGAAGATGTCAATGTGGCCTCGGCTTCAAACATGATGCTGGGCGCTCTATGACGTGGGCTGTTTGGATTCTCTTGTTTTCCTTTTCTCTCTGTCTCGAGGGCTATGCTTGTCTTGAGTCTTGAGCAGGTCATCGGCAAGATTTCTGAAACTCGCAAAGCCACGCCCGGCGTGGGCTTGATCTCGCCGCCTCCTCACCACGCTGCTCGTCGGATGTTTTATAGCTGCTTCTGAATCTTGATCTATCAAGAATACGTATAGACGCATCCACAAGGGTTTTGTGACGACACAAATCACGAGAGCAGGGTTCATGGGTCATAAATACCCTAGGCCCGAGGCCCCTAGGCCTCCTCCGAATCTCAGGACATGTACTCGATCGAGGACGTGGCGCAGCTGATCAAGGCCCATGTTGGAGCTGCTGCGGGGATACTTGCGTGGGTTCAGGATGTAGCTTTTGTTTTTTGATGTTTTGGGGGTTCGGGTGCAGGGTTTCGGGTGTTTGGTTTGAGGGCTTGGAACATCTGGCTGCCTCGATTGGACGTCTGCTTTCCAAAGTTGGTGGGGTGTCTTTCGGGGCGCGTGTTGGGGTACAGTCAGGCGCTCCAAAGGGACAGGGGGCACTCCTGCCGAAGAAATGACAGGGAAGTTGGAGAGGCTTCTTTGACCGTTTATTGCTCCGGTTCTTGCCTTCAGGGCTGCAGTGCTATCGGGCTTCAGACCTGTCTGCAGGGTTTGGGTTGGGATTTGCAGGGGAATGCGTGGTGCTGGAGTCGAAGGTTAGTGGGCTGCAGAGTCTGAGAAGTGGCTGAGTTCTAAAGCAAAAGACTCTGAGAGTCCAAGTGAGTCCAAGAGTATTCTGAATAGTTGCTACTGGTTCATTTGGTTGCTTTGCGCTCTTGCAGCAGTGTCTCAGTCCTCATAATGTTTTTCGCTGTCAGTACCCTTGACCCAGAGGCCGGAATTGATTTGCTTGCGAGCGGCTGATGGTGGAGCTTGCCGACCTAACCTGCAGTCTTGTGTGTTTTGAAGCAGGGCCTGTATGCCAGCCTGGACGTAATCCATATAGGACAGATTTGGATCATGTAGCGAAATGCTATGAACGCCTACTTTAACCTTACTTGGGAGAGCAGCAAACGCATAAGATCAGCAGAGTCCTTCCATCGGCGAAGCTCTTCTGTCGATTCTCGCATAGACTGTGTTGAATGCCACGCAGGATCTGAAGAACGCCAACCCAGCAGCACGCATCTCTGCACTTCCTCGGCAAGTAAGGGTTGCTTCCGCAAGCTGCCTTTGCTTTCTTATTTTTCTATAGAACCTTACCATGGGGCTAGAGTGGGCCGCAACTATACAGATGCAAGTACTTGTAGTCTCAGGCCAGGATATTGAGGCTAGTATAACTTACAAAAAAGCCCGTATCCAAAATCACTGCAGCCGAATTCTTTTATACTCGTACAGGCTTAAAGCTAGCCACCATGCACACCTCAACAGCCCTGGAACAAGATATCCCAGGTGACAGTGAGGATTACCCACTACGCGCCCCAGGTGTGAGAGCCATAACCTATTCAGGCTCCTAGTTCTGAAAGGCCCCTAGGTTCCTGATTATGATTGTAGTATAATGAGCCCCAGAACCCTTATTAGGGCCCCTATATTTAGGTGAAGCTTGTGGCCCGACTTGGCATTGGCGTCATCGCCTCCGGCGTCGTGAAGGGCAAGGCGCTGTCCTTCTTGCCTGCAGATTGCTGAAAAAAAACCTGAACGACGAGTCCTAGTGGTTCGGGGGGTGGGGGGTTTATAGGGCTTGCGGGATTTTGTGAGGTTGGCAAGTTGGGCCCAGATCGGGGGTTTGGGCTTTGGGTTGAGGATCCTGTGATTGGTGACAGAAGTGGACCATGGTCAACCTCTTCAGATAGGGCTTGAATAACCAGTTCAAGCCCTTGTCTGGGAGGCGGACCACCTCACCATCTCGGGCATGTCCGGTGGTACCGGCGCCGCGAAGTGGGGTTCCATCAAGCACTGCGGTACTTTGGCTTCAAGTTAAGGATGTCCATAGCGAGTGCTCGGAAGGATTTACAGACTCGGGGGTTGAGGCTTGAAAAGGCTTTCTGATCATGTCTGGGTCTAGGTTGGTGCAGAAATAGTGTTGCAGGCATGGGAATTGAAGCTGTGTGCTGACTGGGTAGGGAGAACCAGCAGCAATGTCACCTTATAGTCATATGTAGTCCGTCTATAGCTTATACTCAAGTATACAGTATACTCAAAAAGCCCTTTTGTCCCTGTTCGAGGCCCCTATACCCGTATAAGCCCGTTGGAGGACCTGAATCAAGCCTTTAAAGGAGCCCTGCAAAGAAGCCCTGGCAAACAGAACAGAACCCTTTAAGGCACGAACTGCTAATTCTCGGTTTGAGCACCCCTAACGAGTAGGGGCGTACCTATACTATTTTGGGTCCTTAATCTTAGAACTCTACATATATATATATGCGTATGTATATATATATATAGCACTATAGCCCAAAGCCCTCGTCTAAGTAGCAACTAGTATATAAAGGCCCCTGTGTTAAGCTAAGCTACTTCAAGGCCTTCCTTGGGAAATCGGCCTGGCGGAGACGCACCAGACCTTGGTCCTCAACGGCCTTCGCACCTCGAGCTCGGGAGGTTTCATCGCTGTTTCGTTTTGGGAGTTTAAGGCTTATAGGGCTTAAGGTTTAGGGTTTGAGGTCAGGGTTGAGGGTTCTAGGGCTCAAAGTGTTTATCGAGAATTCTCAACAGTTGTTCCAAAAAAGGCTTTGAGCTTCGGGCGTTTTGAGGCTTTTAGTCTTCAGGTAATTCGAAGACAAGCTGTTGCTATTGCTTGGTTTCGGGGCTTTTGACTTCAGGCTTTAGACTTACAGAGTTCAATCCTTGGGGGATGTGGGGTCGCAGGCTCCGGCGGTCGGATTCAAGGACTGCGGAATCCAACGGTATGGGCACAGGATGTTCCTCTGAACTAGCTCCTCCCCCCCAACGTTGAACGTGTGACCACAGCGTGGGCCCCTAGATTCAATCAGGATGTCCTGCTGGCCGAAGTCTCCGAACTGACAGCCCCAGAAGTTTGCAATCCGAGATCCGCCCGAGACCAAACGCACGACCGCTCGCCTTGAGGTAACCGAGTGACCTTGCAAACAGACGGCCAGGTGCAGCGCCGGGGGGACTCGGGATTGTTGGGTCATCACTTGCACTTGTGTGTTCGTATGGGATGGTACTGTATCAATTGACGAAGACGGCAACGTAACGGGGCTGGTGTTCACGACAATTTCGGTGGCGACAGCAAATGAAATCACGAAAATCTGGAAATTGGGAATAAATGTGGCCCTCAGGACACCGGAGTTATCAGAGTGAGTTGTATTGCAACAGGAATGCCGTCAAGAAAGACGACGACCACGGTCTAGGTCGCAGCATTAGAGGTGATGAGAGCAATCAGCAAGGCCTTGGACAGCCAGGAACATGCAGCAACGATAGAGGTGGTTTAGACTTTCCAAACAAGGTTGCTGCGTGGTGATGGTAGGGTTGTCAATCTCGCACGACCCTGGCCAGAAATTCACATAGGCGCGCATCGCTGAATGAGCCGACCTCTCCTGTTTTTTTTGGCATGAGTGTGTTTTTAAAGCTGATTTGCTTCCCCAGTGCTGTTTCAAATGCAGGCTTGCGGTCTTGAGCTTCGGGGCTGTCGGGAGTTGTCCTAAACCCTACCTGGGCCCTAAAGGACCTACCTTTCTAGGGCTCCTTACTATGATTTCCTTATACAAGGTCCTTAAAAAGGGTAGGTTATTTCGGGTTTAGGTAAGCCCCAAACCCAGCCAAACTAAACCCTGAACCCAAAACCCTAAGCCCTAAGCCCTAAACCCTAAACCCTAAACGATAAACCCCTAAACCCTAAAACCTAAGCCAAGCTATAAACCCCGGGCCTTGGCAGGTGCGAACCGGCCGGGATGTGGTGATCGCGGCCATGTTGGGAGCCGAGGAACCGCGCCTGCGATGGGGTGAAGGGTACCTGTTTGATGATATAAATCGGTTTAGGGTTTAGG